ATCTCGGGAGGACCGAGGCGTCTTCACTACCCAGGAGTTTATAAGCCCAGAGGTCAAGCGAAGGCCCAGAGATCAGGTAGTGCCCAACCCGCACCTGCAGAGCTTCTGGCTCTCACAATTCTCCCAGGGACCCCTTTCCCGCAGCCTTTCCGTCTGCGCTCTGAGTCCACATCCTTGCGCCCTCCTAGACCCCAGCGCCGCGCCGCGCAGCGCACTGCGCCACGGCGGCAAAGGGCAAGCGCAAAATTGGAAGTGCCTGGAGATGGCCTCACGGCCTCCTGGCGGTTTCCGTTTCTTCCTTTCTGGGGAGGGAAAATCACATAGCACTGTTTGTTTCCCCAGCCCCGGCGGGCGCGGACCGGGCATATGGACATGTCACGCTCAGCATCTGTGTCATCGGTCGCGTTTTCTGTGTTTGGCTGTGTGTGTGTGTGTGTGTGTGTGTGTGTGTGTGTGTGTGTGTGTGAGGCCGGGGCGCTGGGAACAAATGCGCATCTGTTAAATTTGACAATAAAGTCCTACAGCAAAGCTGCCATGATTGGGACGACGGGTGGGGGCGGAAGGCAGAGAGGGTGGGGGAGAGCTGGAGTCTCAAAAGGCGACTCTAAAGCGCCTGGCCCAGGTATTATGTCAGGAGAAGGTGAGGAGAGCAGCTGCTCCTTCTCGCGGGGTGTGTATGGGAGCGAGGGTGCATGTGTCCCTGTGAAGAGTACACACCGATCTGCTCAACATATGTCGCCACAAATCACAGTATCTCTCCCTCCTCCCACCCCCCACTCCCTCCTGACCCAGGGCAGAGCAGAGAGAAGCGCTGAGAAGAGGCGCCGCTTCAACAGGTGTCTTGGTGCGCAATGCACCTTTTCACGCATTCACTGTCTCCGCCGGCGGCGAGATAATGTAGACACTTTGTTTCCAGGAGCTGCGTGCGAGCTATGGACTCTCGGGGGGGCGAGGCGGCCCTGGGCAGGGAGGGGGATCTGCAAATAAAGACCTCGGATGCTCCTGGGGTCCCGGGCCCTCTCTTCCTTTTGTTAGAGGACTCCCTGGACCGCAGCTCCCTCGTGCGCCCTGGGGGGTGGCATATGGCGCCCTCTCACCTACCCAAGAAAAAGAACTAGCTACCCATTCAAGAGCGCACGAGGTCCCCGAGCCGGGGAGGGGGAGTCTCTGAGGGAATGGCTTCTCTCCCAAAGCGAATGAGGAGCCTGCCTTATCTCTCTCCCGACCCCACCTCCGCCAAACCCTCAGCTGGCGCAGCAGCAGTTGGGTGGGGAGCAGCGCGCAGGGCAGCACCAGCCTGCGGAAGCGCCCCAGCTCCCGGCAGATGAAATATGGGGCTGGTGAGCCCCTGGAGACCATATGCTTTCAATAAAAGAAGACAAATAGGACTGAGATAGGCCTTGCAGCCAACCTGTTATAAATGGGTGGCAACTGGGCCAATGTACACGGGAGAAATCCCGGGGGGAGGCCTGCTCCGTGCCAAATCCATGTGTCAGCTTCTAGGACAGGTGTGCCCAGGGGCCAGGGGCCAGGTCTCCCCACTCTGGGTTTATCACGGCAAAGGTAATATTGTGCTAACTATGAGTAAACAGTCATTGTGAAGACGAAGGAGAGTTTATCAGAGGCGAACTAGTTGGGGGGTGGCTTAACAATAAAGTTGCCCGCCTTGGGAGCAGGTGATGGCTGGCTGTGGGACTCCCGTGGTAGATGTTTTCCAAAGCACTCCACTTTACAATCTCTTGTAATTATTTATTAAGCGAAATCTATTTATTATTATTTTAGCAAACACTGGAGACAGGTGGGGCTTTCTTTTCGTCGTCTCCTTTTGTTTGAAGGGCTGTTTGAAGTGGCCAGTCTCGGCCCGGGCAGCTCGCTCGCCAGATTTTTGTCTTCCCCTCTTTCAGCTCCGAGACGAAGGCGAGAGAAAGAAGCCCCCTCCACTGGCAAGCTATTAGCTATTCAGCTTCCTGTGGCCACCCTCCCCCAGCTTATTTCTCAAAGAGCCCCCAGGCACTGCTAAGAATCCCCCCGCCAACGAGAAGGCAGTAGGGCGGACCGCTGCCTTCCTTCCTTTCCAATCTACCCGCGGTCTCCAGACGTCAGGCTATCGCCTCTCTCCTGGGGCCCCTCAGCCTCTAGGCAAGCCTAGGTCTCGGAGAGTCGAGGGTTGCGGGGTTCCCAGAGGCCTTACAGGCAGCGACGGGCCGGGGGCTTCAGGAACAGGCTCTGCTCCCGGCTGGAAGAGCCGCTTCACAAATAACCGCCAGCGCGCACTGAGTTATCACTGCCTGCGCCTCCGCCGCCAAAAGCACAGGAGTTAACTTTGGAGAGGGGGTCTGTGCGTCCTCTGCAGCGGAAAGGGGGTACGTGTATCCTTGACCTCTAACCCCCAAGGACTCCTCCACCTCCGGCCCCGCCCTTCTGACCAGAAGAAGGGCTGCAGAGAGTTGAGTGCCCCAAGGAGACCGCTGCCCCGGCCGCTGCGCGCTCCTCGCCCTAACTGTGTTTTGCGCAAAGCGGGACCGTTGGCGGCCTGCAAGCCCTGGAGAGCCCTGAGCCAGAGGGGCGCTGGGGAAGCGGGATAAGAATTCTCAGCTGGTGCCAGAATTCTCTCCCAGTCAAGAAGGTTCCCAAATATCCCCAGAATCTTCCCTGGTGCAGGAAGCTCGCCCTGCAGCTTTCCTCTGTACCCATGAGCCACTTGACCCAGGTTGAGCCAAGATGAGTCCCGCCTTGGTTTCTCATGTGAGGGCCGCTGAGGGATGAAGGTCCTGGTTGTGGGGATCAGTAGGGGTTCTTTGATCCCTTATGGTCAGGGTTCCCTCCACGAAGCCAGGCTGGGCCCTGTAGCCCTTAGGGAAGCATCAGTTCCTGATGTGCAGGATGGAAATCATGCAAGGCAAGGAGATGGGGTAGAAAGCAAAGAGATAAAGCATAAGTGGACATTGGCTCCTCTTGGCACTGGGAGATGGGGTCACTATCCTTTTTCTACTCTGACCCTGTTATTCCTCACAGACCCAGGACTTCTACTTTCTATGTTTTGGGATGTCTGGTCTTTGCCTTGACAAAATATTTTCCCCCCATCAAAGAGAGGCAACAGGTGCAAGGGAGAATCGAATACTAGGAGTCTTAGTACCTGAGTTCCATGTGGTTCTGCTACAACTTGCTGTGTGACCTTGGATGAGTCACTTTCCCTTTCTGGGCTTTGACTTTTCTATCTGTTAAATGGACCTAACGTTTTCATTCTTATGACTAGAAGACAAGTTCAGAGCAAGCTGTGACCTAAGGGAGGAGCAACAGCAAAACTTGGAACTCAGGAGTCTTGGCGGATCCTTTTGTTGATCCTGAACCTGACCTCTAGCTTCAGTCCTCAGGCATCAAGGGAGGAAGCCTCTGCCAACAGCATACTAGCTGAGATGCTGAGCACAGCACCTCTATCTCCATGCATTCCTAGAGCCACCTCTCCCTGGCTCCCAAGCATATTCACCCTCTCTCTGCCTTAGAGGTAACTTCACCCTCCAAGCAGACTGGGCAAGTGTCAAGAGGGTGTCACTAGGGCAGATACACAGACTTACCTATTCCCCTCACCCCATCCCCTCAGTTTCCCTGCTGGGTTCTGCCCCCAACCCCTGCCAGCTTCCAGGGGCTCAGGGTATATGGACCTGCTAGAAAGTGAAGCCTCTGCCACCTACAGAGACTTAATCCCCCCCAGTCTTCCCAGCCTTGGCTTTCTTCTGGGGCATGTTGCAGTCAAGGGAGAGGAGCAGAAGCTGTGATCCTCCTCACCCTGAGTGACTGGAAGCAGAAGACCACGGGGTGTCTGAAACAGGGACAAAAGGGAGGGATGGGGACAAAAGGGAGAGGTGGGGGAAGAAAGGAGGGGTGATGTGTTCAGACTCACTTTGGAAAGATTTCAAGATAGTGCCAACCAGGGACTTGTGGAATCCCTGTGCTCACCGCCAGACCTCTGCCTAGACCACAGCAGGGGGCTGGACCACAAAGCGGCCGGCAGCCCCTACCCTCCTATGTTTGGATAGGAGGACTAAGGGCAGAAAGAGTTGATCTGCTTCTTGCAGTGCCAGCACTCCACTGGCATTGAGAAGATAAAAGGGCTCGCTGTGAACTCCCCGCCCTTTCCTAACCCCTTCTCACCTAAGCTCTTCCCTCGCAGGCCCTGGCAGATTTGTAGGGTACTATCCACAATTGGTAGTGGTGGAATGCCCCCTGGAGGTCTCACAATAGCCACCCTCCGCCTCTGGGGCACTACTGAAATGTCTTAGGTTTGGGATGGGGGATGAGCGGTGAGGTTCTAAGCAGCTACGTCTGAGGAGTGTGGGATGTCATCTCAAGGCACTGTGGTGAAGGGGCTCCTCACCCCCAGGAAAGGTCTCTAAGTGGCAGGAACACAAGCAGGATCTCTCTCTGTGGTTGCCCCGTCCCCCTTCCCAAAATGTAGAGGGTCAGTGAAATATCACCCTCTATTTTTCCTAATCTGACCCACAGTGCAGGAGAGCAGAATGGCACTGGGAATTTTACACGCTTCTCCAAGCTGGTAGTCAGGACACCTGGCTCCTTGTCCTTTCAGAGTGATTTGGAGCAAGCTGTCTCCTTTCTGAGTCTCAATTTCCCATGTGTAATCACATTGATATTGACATACCCTACACATTTCCCAAAGCCCCCTTCAGGTATCAAGAAGGGGTCTGTATAGATATCAAGGAAAGACAGAATAAGAGCAAAACGGTCTGGGGGGCCGCCAGACGCGAGCCAGACGAGGCTCTTTCACTGGGCGAGGCTCTTTGAGGAACCGAGAGTTGCTGGGACAGAGCCCGTGGGGAGAAAGCAAACAGAGCTGCGTACCCCTCCACCCCCACCCCCCAACCTCGGCGCCAGCCCTTTGTCCGGAATCCAGCTGTGCCCCGCGGGGGAGGAGCGGGCTCGCGTGGCGCGGGCCCCCTGGCCCGGGCGCTGATTGGATGGCGTCGCGGGCAGCAGCCGGGCAGGCACGCTCCTGGCCCAGGAGCAGCAGATAAAGCGTGCCAAGGGGCACACGACTTGCGCCTCAGGAAATCCGCATGGTCTCGCAGCCGCGCTGAGGCTCGGGACCCCCTTTACACTTTTCGTCTCTGGGGCTGGGGAAACTTTCAAGAAGCGGCGCCTGCATCTCAGCTAAATTTGCAGAGGAAAAGGCCAGCTCAGCTCACCGCTGCTCTCACTGCCCACCGCTCTCTAACCCTTTGCGCCATAGAACAAGGTAAAGGCCACAGAGCGATGGGCCGAGGGAAAAGGGGGTCCTCTGGTCCGGCGGGAGCGGGGAGTGATGGCTTTTTCTCGATTTTTCCCCCAGCCGGCCCGAGACTGGGAACTGCGTGATCGACCCACGTTTACCTTTACCTTTTGCCCCGCCGCAGGATGGCGCCCCATCCCTCTGGTGCACCAGCTGTCCAAGTGACCCATGAGACAAAGCAGCCTTTCCAGGGCGCCTCAGACGACAAAGTGACCTGCGTCGCATCCGCTCCGCCCAGCCCCAGTCGCGTGCCAGGGAACTGTGCCGAGGCGGAAGGGGGCGGCTGCCGAGGCGCCTCGAGGAAGCTTCGCGCGCGGCGCGGAGGACGTAGCCGGCCCAAAAGTGAGTTGGCTCTGAGCAAGCAGAGACGGAACCGGCGCAAGAAAGCCAACGACCGTGAGCGTAATCGGATGCACAACCTCAACTCCGCCCTGGACGCGCTGCGCGGCGTCCTGCCCACCTTCCCCGACGACGCGAAGCTCACCAAGATCGAGACGCTGCGCTTCGCCCACAATTACATCTGGGCGCTGACACAGACGCTGCGCATAGCGGACCACAGCCTCTACGGGCTGGAGCCACTTGTGCCGCCCTGCGAGGAGCTGGGCAGCCCAGACGGCAGCTCCCTGGGAGACTGGGGCTCCCTCTATTCCCCTGTCTCCCAGGCGGGCAGCCTGAGCCCTGCCGCCTCGCTGGAGGAGGGCCCTGGGCTGCAGGCGCCTGCTTCCCCTGTCTGCCTGCGCCCTGGCGCCCTGGCTTTTTCAGACTTTCTATGAAGGGGCCTGTCTGCCGGCGGGAGAAAGGGAGAGGGCGGAGGCCTTCGGAGATGTGGGGCAGCGGCGGTGGGGGCGGCCCTTGGGCGTACTTGCTCCTCCTGCTTCTGTCTCGCCCAGGCCCAGAGAGGGTGGCAGGCCGGGTTCTATCCCTACCCTCCTTTTTTTTTTTTTGGTACCGTGCCAACTGCAACCCTCTGCCGCTGCCCCCGCGAGTGGGCATTGCAGGCTATTTGCATTTTAGGCCCCCTCCCTGCGGCCACCCTAAAATCTTCCGCAAAGAAGACAAGAATGGTAGCACTACACAACAGGAGACACACGCCGTCTCAGCCACCCTACCCTCACTGAAGTCTGCCTGCCTGTCCGTCTCTTACCACTCTACCCTCAAATGTGACTTAATCCAATATTTGGTCTCTCGACGTTGGTTCCTGTCGGGCAGTGTCTTCTTCAAAGACGTCGCTGACCTCTTCTAGTCCCTATCAAGGCTGGGGTTCCGGCCTCTCTACTCTGCCTTAATCCACGAAGGTGATCCTCTGCCTTCTCCTTGTGCACTTTCCTGAGCCATCGCCCTCCCAGGGGCAGGAGATGAGGCTGTGAACCGCAAAAGTGCAAAGCGCCTGACAGACTCTGGCAGCTTCCCCCAACACCCACCCACCCGGGACCTGAAGCACCGTTGTCTTTGAAAAAAAAATCAGTTTGTAAATTATGTGATATCTTTTGAAATGAATTTTTGTCTAGTAAATTATATGGCCCCTCCCCTGATTCACACACTTGTATTTATTGATGAGATTTCATAGTGGGAAAAGTCTATATTCTGTACATAAGATTATTTAGGGACTGGTTAATGAGATTTTGAGCCAATAAAAAAGGATTCTTAAGAAGCCTGAGCAAGGTAACTTGATTGTGCAGAGAGGGCAGCAGCCTCTGTGACTAGGGTTGGGAGGGGTAGGGGGGCTCTGTCCAAGGAGAGGGATGAGACCCTCTCCGTGGGTCTTGGGTCCTTCCTGAGGCCTGGTCTGAGAGACTGTGGTGCTAGGCTGGAGGCCAGGCAGGTGGCATTCTCAGGTTGATCTGAGGATTCTCAGGTTGACTTGAGTCAGCTATACACACTTAGAAAATAAGAGTTGGAAGGCTCTTAAAAAACCACTGCCCAGTCCCCTTGTTTTATTTATGGGACAACAACTTATCTTATTCCAAACAGTGGCTTAGGAGAAAGACAAGTCTCCAACTAGGGCTACTCATTGGTGCCACTGGCCCTTTTCCCAGTGCCACTAGCCTGGATTTAGAATGACTGTTGCATTTAGGAAAGAGAGAGTGATAACACTGCAGCAGGGCTGGAGCCCTTGGAAACACCACCAGCAGGCTGTGCATCACAGGAATTTTCCCCGAGTGCTTAGAGCCCAAGCACATCTTCTGAGCTCATTTTGCTGGTACTGCGGCTATGGTGCCATGACTTGTGGGGCTGAGAGGTATGGAGCAGAGAAAGTAGAGGGTCCAGCTGCAATCTCTGACACCTCCTGGACACTCGGCAGCCTTGATTGAAAAACTTATCAAGAAACTATTCAAGGTTTCCAGCCATGTGTTCACTATCACTCCCAAAGTAGACTGATGTGCAGTGATATTGAAATTTGTCCCCATGGCACTGCTGGAGCACACCTAAGTGGCTTCAGAGACCCCGAGGACCTCCAGGAAGCAGGTCTGACCTCTAAGAACTTGGAGTCTATTTGACTCTCTGAAACAGGAAAATGGAAAGTGGGCACCCTACCTTACAAGTTGAATGCCAGAAGCCTCCTTGGATTAGCCCCAGGGCACCCAGGGAAAAAGCAGTCCAACCCCAGTGGGGTGTGGCAGGGTCAGGGGCTGGGAGTAGGTGGATATATCGATTTCCAGTGTGTTAGAACACAAAGGTGGACACTTTGCAGGGGTTAACGCGTCTTGCATCTGTCTCTTATGCCCTCCCTGCTTCAAATTGAACTTTTCCTCTCTCCTTTATTCCCAAAGTCCCTAATGGTAGCTGGGAGGAGATATGTCTTAGTTATCAGGGGCCAGATTTGGGGGCAGTTAGGAGGACGCTGCAAACAAACGAATGAACAAAGGTGTTGTTTCATTTCACGGCTTTAATCTGGAAGGAGGAGATTAATGGGTTATTGGTGACTTTTGCAGCAGCCAATTTTCCACCTGGGGCACCGCCCGGGCAGGTGTCAGCAGCTCCAAGTTGCACAGACCAAGCCACAGCCTGCTAGTTACTGGGGATTAGGGGGAGGGGTGGACAGCCATAAAAATCAGGCAGGCCCATCTCTGTCCTCCTGAGACAATATCAAATATGTAGACAAAATCATTCAAGGTTAAAAAACAATGGTGCTGAGTGGAAGTAAGAGCCACAGGAGGGATGGTAGGATTGTTACCTGTGGCTGGATTGGGAGGTTTGCCAGAGAAGGTGGCATTTTGGCCCTGGACTAAAAGTGTAGAGAGGAAGTCCTCAGGTAGGAAGATGATTCTTCCTGTGAAAGGCTGTGGGAAGTAGTGTTCAAATAGGCAGAGGACTCCCTTGGTGTGAACAACTTCCTGAAGCTGGAAAAGTGTTGGCCCTCGGTGCCAGGTAGAGGCACCCACTGCCAGTCCCTCTCCTGCTTATAAGGGTGCTCACTAAGGAGCCATTAGTCAACCAACACACACAGACTGGTCATCTGCCCCACGAATTAAAAAAAAAAAGCACTGTTTAACCAACTGGAATGCTGTGCCCCCACCTTGGGTCAGGGCAGATCTGACCCCCAGAGCTGTCAGTTCTACTCTTTAAGTCAGGAGGTAGAGGAAGGTTTAGGGCTCCTTGCCCAGGATGAGCTCCATCAAGGTGTTTGGAATCAAGCCGAGGTGAGAAATCTCACCCATGTCTCTTTCCCTCAACAAGAAGGGCTAGGAAACATTTCTGTGAGTGGCACATACAACTAGCCTAGCATCATCATCACCACACACACACACACACCCCTCCATGGGCATTTTGTCTTCAGTGGCTTTTAAAATCAGTCAAGCTTCTCTGGATCTCTGCTGGAAGCCCACCCTCCTCCCATTATGCCTTCGCTAGAGTGTCTGCGAAGCCTCCTTTGGTCTGAGGTTATCGCCTGTGTCCAAACTCCCCAAAATTGGGACAGGGTCCCAAGCAGGGTCTGCAGAGACACTCAGATAGAAGGACTCTTACCCTTCTTCTGCCTTTGTTTAAGCCCTGCCTTCCAGAAAAAACAGCACATGAATCTTGCACCACCCCATCCCACCCGGCCCTCACACACAAGCAGGTAGATTTATGGTGCCCTGCCCCCATCCCACCCCACCCCCGAAGCTGATCGCAACCGCAGACAAAAGCATCCAAGGGCCATTGGAATGCTAATGTCTGGGAGCCGAGCTGCTGGGCTGGCACAAAGGCAGGCGGGGCCAGGGCCACACGCGACCCCACAGGCGCACTCTGCCCCTCCTCTCACCCATAGATCCACTACCCAGCTGTGTGACCTTGGAAAAGTCTCTGAGCCTCAGCTAATTCACATGAGAAGTTGGAGAGAGTCCCTGATACCCTTTCACTGGATTTCTAGGTGCCTAAGGGAAAACTGTGCTAGCAATGGATGGAATTACAGCACTCCCACCTTTTCTACTGGAAGCAGTAGAAAAGAGACTTCAGGCCCAGGGGAACAGTGCAGGGGGGAGGAACACATTTGGCTGAGAATGTGGTGCAGAATAAGCACTAAGTATATTATAATTACATTTCTACATATATGTAATTAATACTCTCTGTTGCATTTCTTTTCCCCCTCCTCTTTTTAAATACCTGCAGATAGTGCTCAAGAAGGAGTGGGGGATGGGCATGGGGGACAGTCACTAACCTTACCTGACTCCTCCACCTTCAAAGGGCCAAGAGCACAGACAGTGACAGACTTGAGGCTGGACACCTCTTCTATCAGGCCCCCTCCTACAGCCAGTGAGGTGGGCAAGGTCAGATAGTCACACCATGGAAACAGAGACCCAAAGTCTTGGAAGTAGGTGACTTGCCCAAGGCCCTCAATCACTCGGTGAGTTATTGGAGCAAGCTAAAACCCTGACCCTGGCTCTAGGCTAGTAATTTAGCGCTCTCTCCTCTGTGCTGACTCAGTCTCCAGTTGTCTATGCTCTGGTTCGAGCTGGGTCCTCTGGGTCTTGTAAGGCCAAGAGGTGACCCTGCGCTTTGGCCGCCCCCTCTCCAGGCCCTTAGCGAGATTCCAGGCTGTTGTGTGACCTCCTCTGCTTCTGGGATCCGAGGGCCAAGGCGATGGGAGAGAACGCCTGCCGCGCTAAGTAGGTCGGGCACCGAGGTCCTGAAAAGCAGCGGCGCGCCCCTGACCATGGTGCTGAAATAACTGCTTTGGTTCAGAGTGAGAGACGCTTCTTGGAAAGCGGCGTTCTCAGTAAAGAAAACCACCTATCAACCTCCTTTGCCCACGTTTCCAGGCTGGAGTCCCTGGGGAGCTCCCTGTGGCTATGTAGACCCAGAAGACTGTCGGTTTCCTTGATGTGGTGGGGAAAGCATAGACTCTGTTGCTACCAACTGACTGTGTGACCTCAGAAAGGCCCTTTTCTCAGCTAGGCCAAAAAACTCTCTCTTATAAATGATGGAGTTAGAACTGAGTGACAAGCTTCAGAATTTCTGACAGCATCTGAGAAAGTGGAATTGCATTGGAAGTTTAGAATGCAGCAACCCTAAACTTGGAAAACTGGTTTGGAACTTTGCCCTCAACAGGGGTCTCATTCTTTGGGTTAAAATGAAGTTTAAGTTATTTCAAGAACAAAGGCAAAAAGAAATCTTCCAAATGCATACACAAATGGCAGAGTGGTTAAAAACAGTTGCTTTAGAATCACAGAGGCATTAGTTCAAAACCTGGTACTGCCACTAACTTACGGTTTTCAATTATACCCCTTTGCCTCCCTCCAGCCCATATTCCTCACCTGTGGAGTTGGGACAGTAAGTCATAGCTACTTAACTGGGTTGATTAAACATGCTTGCTTTTAGTGCACACTAAGCTACCATAAATGATAATAATAATAATTATTATTTTATTATTATTATTTTAGCATCTTCATTTGTGTCAAATTCTTCTCATTCTCCCAGGTTTTTGTTTTTGGGGAGGGGACACTTTTGGATGAATTTGAATTTCCTCTGCACCCCTGTGCAGTGCAAGATGGCACCTAAGCCAAGGGCTACCCACTCCTTCCTAGTGACCCTCCCCAGTTGTGATCTATCCTTCCAGAGCTCCAAGATTACATATCCAGATGTCACTTGAGCCCCCCAAATGAGACATGTCCAAAATGGAATTACTCTCTCCTAACTCCGAACTAATGGTGCCTCTTGTTCCTGATATAACTAGCATCACTCAGTCATCCATACTAGAAATCTAGGGTTCATCTTGACTCTTCTCTCTTACTAGCCACATCCAATTAACCCTTAAGTCCTGCTGATTTGTCCTTCCCAGTATTTTTTGAACCTAGCCTCACCTTTACCTCCTTATGACAACTTCTCTAGTTCAGGCTCTCATCTTTTGCTTGGAGAGACTGCCTAACTGATCTCTCTACCTCTAATCTCAACACTTGTCACTGCACCCTCCATGGTGCAGCCAGAGTAACATGCAAATATAATATTGTCACTCTCCTATTTAAACTCTTCAAGTGTTTTCCAATCATCTCTGGAATAAACTACATAGAGATTCATTACCTGCTTTATTCCCTCCTCAGCACCAAAACAACCTTCTTTGGCTCCCTATGGGTCTATTTTAGAAGATGCCCCACCTGATTAG